ATATTTATCGCCTTTTAGAACTTGTCCTCAAAACAATCTTCACTATTATAAGCTTCTACATTGATCTGTCTATAAATGAATGAAAATTATTCATGTCAGCCATCCTTCCATAGGGCACTTTAAATTAAGAAATTAAATCTATTGACATCTTGTTGAGATTTGTAATGTGCTTGCCCTGCCCCACCCTTTATAGAATCATATTATCAATTCCAACATCTATTTCCTTTTCTGAAAGATATCATTTATGAGACAAAAAATGAATTTATTTATGAAGTGAAGCATTGAAGTGAATTAAGTATAGTAGGAGTAGAATAGCACAGAATGAAGCAAAATGAGAAATAGTGATTGACTGCTTTAAAAAATAATTAGAATAATAATAATAATATTGGAAAAACAAAAAAGTTATTGAATGATGAAGTGGGGAGATTAATGTCTCTGTATTGACTGACATGCATGGCATTCCCTTTTGAAAAAGCAATGTAATACACTGTAAAGTTATATGTAATCCAATGTAATATAAAGAAGATTATGATGATAATAAAAATTAAAATTAAAAGTTAAAAAAATAAATGAATTTGAAATTTATGAGAAAAGAGATCATGTCCAGGTGTATGAATCATCATTATTATTATTTTGGTATTTTCCCAACCATAACAAGAATCACAAGCTACCCTTCTTTAGGTGCAACTGTAAAGAAAATTAAAATAACAAGGAGTGCTTAAATAGGGCGGGAAAGCATTATGATTTACAAAATGTATGTTATCATGTTGAACTATCACTAGAGCTCTGTAAGGTATTATTTTCTTTTGCTAGAGGAGGAAATTGATGCTCAGTGAGGCTAATAAGAAAGACTGGGACTCAAACTCATATCTGGTGAGTGTTAGCACTATGCCGTCATCGACTATGTTATACTGCTTTTGTATGATTGGATTTACTTCAAGACATAGGTAGAAAAGCAGAGTGTTTTCACCTCAAGAAGCAGACTTCAAGATGGATAATACTAATTACATGGTCTGACTGAACACAGCTCTAATTTTGTTAAGATTTCATCT